AGAAGAAGAAGAAGAAGAAGAAGAAGAAGAAGAAGAAGAAGACATGTCTTCTTAAATTTAAAAAAATAGAATTCGATATCATGGAGATGACATCGCTATAGATTGTTCTTAGGTACAAATATTATTTTGTTAGCTAGTGGTTTCAGAAAAAAGCTAAGGAAACGGGAGAAAAGGGGGCGCGTCACAATCACAAGGTCTCTATAAACGTACGCGCTGGTGGGTGGTCGTAGCGTAGCGCTCCGCGCACTAAACCCTAATGCATTTGTGTTGAACGTAATATGCACAATGTTGTGCAGTCGCAAGTCATAATGAATAAGGGTTTAGTGTTAGTGTGCAGCCGACAGCCGGGCGCGTGGTGCACCTTAAAATCCGTGCAATTCCGAATGAATGATCGTGTCTGCTTGGTAATTTGCGAACTATTTCTTTTGTACTGCGAAGAAAATCAGGCTTAGAAAGCGATCAAATCTGTAACAACCAATCTGAACCCAATACATCACAAGGTCGCCCCCACAAGCTAAAGTAGCACGCACCCTAGCTGGGGTCCCATTCATACAAGTGTCCGGTCGTGGCAACCAACTCCTGGTTGTGGGTATCGGATTTTCGATTCCTCCTGTCGAATTTAGCCTACCAAACATAACTGATCCTCACAACGAAGTCGTTTTTCTCCGTGTGTGTTAAATGTATCATCCATTAAAAAGAATTAGAATATCAACGAACTCACCCAGCTCCCAAACCGAGAGCACCAGCGCCGACGACTCCTGCTCCCAGACCGACGGCTCCCAGACCAAGGGCACCGGCGCCAAGAGCTCCGGCACCGAGGGCGCCACCAACAAGGAGACCCTTGGCGAGGAGGAGGCTTCGCTTGTTGCGGGTGTTGGGAACCGCCACGGCCACCTGGGTGGGGATAGGGGCACGTTCTTCTGCAAAAGGGCAGAGGAGTTGATTACAATCACTTCTTCCCATCGACTTAGAATTAATCGAAGAGGAAAAACGAGAAAAAATGGGCCGTCGTAAATTTACAACATTATGTTGTTCCAAATTACAAGAAATTTCGTAACTTTACGAGGAAATTTTTCACAGTGTCAAAGTGTTAAATGTTAGTGTCGCTACAAAAAAAGGTCCTTACAAGCAAGAACATTTCACACCTGTAAAATATGATGTATGTATGCCTATGCTCTAAGTATTTGCAGCATCGTTGAGGTTGTCAGTCAAGAGGTTCTGGGCCCTTAAGGGTTCGGGATGGTTTCCGATTCGGCCCGAGAACCCAGAAAATCACAGCGATGCTCCAGAGCTATGAGCTATTTACTGTAAGAAGTCTGCGAACAATTGTTTTTTCGTAGGCGCAAAACCGTTACTCTTACGCATATAAAAGGGGGATCGTCCAGAAAGTGCGTCTGAGGTTCCTTCGGCAATTAACGCGAGATCGGTGCCTGCGAGACTCGGGGTAGGCCATCCCGCAGTACACGCATGTACGGCAGGAAAGTGTTGCCTACCTAACAGGCGCTATGGGAGCTTTCAGAGGACGAACTAACTTGGCAGGTTCTAGAATTCGTAACGGAGAATGACGGACGGACTTTCTTATAGCCACACTTGCACAATTTTAAGCAGCCTTAATATTTATGCATTTCAAGTTGTGGATAATTTGCGTCACCACAAAATTTCTACAAATAAAGTTTTTCGAAGTAATATTTCGTACTCATTTCATAATGTTAACCGCCCCCCCCCCGAAAAAATCCTTCATTTCCACTTTTGGGCAGTGGGATCAGAGATTAGTTTGTCCACAATAAACTAGAGCTATCTTATTTGAAATGCCAAGTAGCGTTGACTAGCAATTTTAGAGGGATATTGGGA